TATATGTATTTTGTATATTTTATGTACAAAATACAAACAAACAGCGCAAGTCAGTCATAATATTAAACAAGAAAAGTAATTAATGCAAAACGTAATCAAGGTCAAGTGCTTTGCCCTATTGACCCTTAGCCAGACGCTGAGGAAAAGCATGAGAAATGCTTTTCATTTCCACAAATGGTTTCGCCAGCCACGGAAAATGGAAATTAAAGTGCCAAAGTGACGAGCGAAATTTCAGCGCTCTTTGTTTCAACTGAAACTGTTTTGTATTCGCATTCTGATGCACTGCCTGAGCAGAGGGTATATAAGGAATGGAATGGAATATGTCAGCCATAGAGCAAACGAAAGTTTTTCGAGTTTTTCCTTTATATGTGGAGAACAATCTCTTTATATATGTGGAATGACTTTGTGACTTTGAAAGGAATGAAGAAAAGAGGAGAGAGAGGAGGAAAAGAAAAATTTGTATCTTAATGTCCAATATCTCAAGTGTGCAACAAAAATACATATAAAGGAATACCCATATATGTTAATCTTAATACTCATTTCATATTATTTTCCAAATATGGTGTATAGATCAAGTTTCTTGTCCATCATTTAGTACTCCGTTGCACTACTTTTTTTTTTTTTTTATAAGAATAGCTGTACACAAAAAATGCTTAGTTCTACTTAAAATATACATTATAAATTAGTCCGTCATTAGCTCTAAAAATTTCCTACAAATTTCAATTTTTCTGTTAGCGTATTTCGTCTTCGTCAGTTTCGTGCTCCCTGTTGTAATGTTGTTCTTCTTAGCTAGCGGAAGTTCTTGTGGCGTATACGTAATATATATTTGCAGGCCTTTAGAGACTTTGACGGCCTTGCGTGTTGGCAAACCGTTACAGCCGTCAAATATCGCAAACATTAAAGCTGCAAAAGGCTAGATTTTTAATAAGTTAATTAACAGTTTGGCCTTGTGTATGCTCGCACCCATGCACACCTAGGAGTTGGCCTCGGGCGTATACTTAATTAATTACTTATTGATAGCGCAGCCTCAAAGTGCAGCAGCTCCCTTTTAGTATCTGTCTAATTTCGCAGAGTGATAATTAGAAATTTGTTTTTTTTTTTTTTTGTTTTAATCGAGTACAACTTGACTTATTTTAAATTTTTATTATCATAAAAATGCTCTATTTTTGCTTGATCATCATTGAACATCACTTAGTCAGTTAATCAGGCAATCATCAGTTAATCAGTTAATTAATGAATCAAATTATTCGGCAGTCCATCAAGTTGATTCTTCAATCTCTCAGCACAATAATCAATCTATCAATCGATCAGCGTTTCAGCTACCTAATTAGTGTGTCAATCAGCTAGTTTGTTAAATGGTCAGACCTTCATGTAGTCAATAGTCTTATCACTCTATCAATCAATTAGTCGCCATATCAGTCATTCAACCTATTAATCCACCAGTCAATCAGTCATATCAGTCAGTCAACCAAGCAGCTAATTTGTCAATCATTCAGCCAGTCAATCAGTTAACTCATCACTCAATCAATCACCCAATCAATGGTCATTCAGCAGTGAAAAAGTGAATCACATTATTTACCTTTAAAATGTTATCAAAATACTCGCTCAACAAGTTAAAAGAGTGTTTTCATTTTGTGCAATAAACCAGTCTGCCAGTCTGTCTGCCAGTTGTGCTCTAAGGGACCTAAAACTGCCGATATATATATATAATAAATATATAACCACGTCTACAACAGTAATGTAACATTCCAATATTATAAAGTGTTGGCGTGACAAATCGAAAAAAAAAAGAACTTGAAACAATCATGGAACTAAAATAAAGCCAAATGGGTTTTCTACAAGAATTTTTTTCAGACATTTCCCACTTTTAGCGAGTATTACGCAGTATTAAATTATCTGACCTGTTTTATGCATTCGGAATATTCTGTTGCCGAAATTTGTTGTTTGTGGCTGCTAAAAGTTGATTAAACAAATAGCTAAATCGAATAAAAACATTCTATAACGAAAATAAATCAAAATCAATATGGTATCATTCATAAATCGTACTAATAATAATACGGGCTTATGCGACAGACCTTCGCAAAAGCCGCTGCAATTATATTTAATTTTGAGCTATTGAATAATTCAAGCTAAGCTAATTTTGGGCATGTTTTGAGCCAAGGGTCGATCGATAACGTGCGTCAAAGGGGACAATCACACTAAATGGACAAAATGCTTGAATATTGAAATACACATATATAGATAGATACATAACTACATAAGCGCTCTCCTCTTGGCAGGAGACGGCGGTGCATTGGCTGTGCTTTGGCCATGTGAAAGCGATGCGGATTGCACAGCTGCTGGCTCTAGCTGTGACCCGGAAACAAATCTCTGCGCCTGCTCCAGCTTTGATCAGGTCTTCTCGGATGACTACTCGGAATGCTTGACCACCTCGCTGATTGGTGACGCATGCCAAGACACCGTTCAATGCAATCTTATGCCAACGGGAGCCAGTTGTAAAACCGGGGTCTGCGATTGCGCCGATGGCCAAACCTATTTGCAAGGCAAATGTAGGCCAGTGAATGGACTCAACGAGCCCTGCGAAACGGTGCGACCAGAACCTTGTATTCAATTATCTTAGAGCATTCTAAAATTCGAAATTTCTTGACAGGATTTGGATTGCTTTTTTGGCTACGATCGAGCATCCGTGCGCTGTGAGGAGAGCGTTTGCGCCTGTGCAAATGGCTATTATCACAGATATGGAAACATATGCCGTCGCAAATCAATGGGTAATTATACTATTTTTCATATACAGTAAAGTCTGCTTGTCTCATATACGAAATATTAACTTCAAATGAGTCTTAACCTATTGAATTTAGATGTTAGATATTGTGAGACTTAGAGCTCTGTAAGCTTCATAAAGTTATTCGTCAACCGAGTTTTCACTATAAATATCACCTCTATCAGTATCTATAATAAGTTAAAGTTTTTGCAACCAGTTATAAGTATTTATTCATTAAAAGAAGTTTCACTGTATTTCAGAAAAAAACGATGCTTGCGTCGTTAATGCGGACTGTGATGCACTGGGCGCCAGTGCCGCCTGCGTGAATCTAAGCTGTACGATTGTGGATGAGTCGAGCACCACGGCCAGCACCACCGTCGGCACGGCAACCACGCCGGAGGAGAACGACACCGAGAGCACGACGGAGAATATCGAAACAACTGATGCGATAACGAATCCAAGTGAATCGAATGAGGAGACAACCGAACCGGAATCCATTACCACAACCATTAGAACCGAGGAGCAGACCGGTTGGGCGCGCGAAAAGAAACAGTTCACCAAAGCTTTTCCGCATGCCACGCCCACTCACAAGGATGCCGCCGCCCAGGCGACATTGCCATTGATTAACGGCGACAACGAGCCGTTGCTGTTGACCCCTCGTCGCAGTCGTGAAATCGCTGTGCAGACGAGCATCGAGCAGTACGAGCTGAAGGAGCTGGGACGCAGTTTCAAGAATGCGGCCACAGCAACTACAACAACAACAACAACCGCCTCAACYAACTCCATCAATAATCGTCGTCGGTTGCCCGCCATCTTTCGCTATGATAATGAGGATATTAAAACGTATTCAACGTTGGGATCGAGTCGCGATGACGACGATATTGAGGACAAAAAGTGTGAGTATTCAATTTGGAATTTAATCAATTTTTTAGCAAGTATTATGGGGTCGGAATGACCCATAATTTGAAATTATATCAACCGAGCAGATGTCTCGACTCCCAGGACATGGCAATTAGCCACGTTTTCGCAAAGAAACGTAATCAAATCGAAAAGTGGTTGGCAACAGATAACTCAGTCAACTTACTTTGGATAAAGTCAACTTTAGCTTTTGACTTTCACAAATTTTCAGTTGTTCATTAAAGTCAGCGATTATGAACAAATAATTTTTAAATATATCCGCCCTAATTTTGGTATTTGCCAATACTGAGAAAGCTAAAGAGTGATGGCAATACTAAAATTTTAAGCAGCGACTAATCGATAAGCCAAATCGTATTAAGTTTGATAATCAGTGTTGGGTAACTATCTCTGTCAAACGTGGCCAACACTAAAAAGACAAGTGCTGGCAATTTGAAAATTTGAAATAATTATCGATAACGCAACATTCATTGTTATCTTAGCAAATTGCTACCAATTACACTTTTGTTCAAGTTGTTGATAACTTTTGATAAAAATTATAAATATAATTGTTCTCATTTTGATTTCAGATGGCAGTAGCTGCACTGACAATGGCAAATCCTGCACTGGCCTGCCCCACTCGATCTGCACAAACAAGATTTGCCTGTGCAGGCAGGGCTATTATGCTCGAAACGGCAAATGCTTTGCAGGTAAGAGAAAATCATAAATTGTTAGCATTATTGACTCACTTGCCTCTTCGACAGAGCTCGGCGAGATAGCGGAGAGCAGTGACGAATGTGAATATGAGTTTGATAAGTTGTCCAAGTCTTGTATATGCCAAAAGAACTATTTTTATGAACGTGACCTGCGCAATTGTAGAAAACGTGAGTTGAATTTGAACTGGAATAGAGTAACTAAATGCTCATTAAATATTTACTGTCTCACAGCCATTCAGTATCATCTGTCTTGCACATCGAACAGCCAATGTAGTCCCTTTGGCGCCTCCTATTGCCACCCGCAGATTCCCAGACGTTGCACGTGCGAGGAGTACGCCCAATATAATGAGATCTCACAGCTCTGCGAATATAAGGACGGCTTGGGCGCTGAGTGTGAGTCGAACGATGGCTGCCTGGTGGATCATTCCATTTGCTCAAACCGCTTCTGTGTGTGCCGCGACAACTATTATGAGAAGGACGAAATGTGTGTGGCAGGTAAATAGAAATATTTGATGATCAGATATCAAGTGTTTAATAATTTGTCTGACCAGGCATTGGTGCCGAGTGCTCAGAGGATGAAGAGTGCATAGCTGAAAACACCGCATGTCTTAGCAATTCAGCCAAAGATTCGGAGCATCCGCGCTCCTGTCAATGCCGCAAGGGCTATGTGCACTTCAAGGACGAGTGTGTCAAGGAAGGTGTGTATGAGTCATCGAAATAACTTTTTGAAGTTATTAAAGTCATTTCCATTATAGCCGACGAGCTAGGCGAGGAGTGTATCGGGGATGAGCAGTGCAAGCCGCTGCTAGCTACTTGCAATGAAGCAGGCAAATGCAGCTGCACCGATGAGCAGCACGAAAAGAATGGAATATGTGAAACGAAACGACGTACGTTTATATAAGCTACATGTATAGCTAAAATATATATCTAATATATTTGCTTTCAGAGCTAAGCGAGCCCTGCTCAAAGGCCACAGAGTGTTTTGTTGAAAAGGATCCCGAGAATGTGGAATGTCGCAACTCCGTCTGTCAATGTAAATTTGGCTATCAAGCGAACACTGAGCAGAAGCAGTGCATACGCGTAATGCCCAACAAAAAGAGTATGTTTCTAAAAACAATGCTAAATTTACAAAGAGCTTTACTAAACTTTTTCAATTCACGCAGATTCTTCCGGTAGGCCCAGCGCTCTAAAAATCATTACATTCGCATTGATAGGCTCCGCTTTTTTAATAACCAGCGCAGCCATTAAGCAGGCGTACTATTAGTTGGCATCATTGATGTAGCCATAGACAACCAAGAAAGCAAATCAAGAGTTTTAATTAGATAATATATATATGAATAATTTTAATTGTAAATGTTTAAGCGTTGTGAGCAACTCCCTGTGGATATGTTGAGGCCATGTAACCAGGTCCCAGTTGACCCGGTTTAGTATTGATTGCAGTATTAATCAATGATGATGCATGGCATGCATATATATACATACATATATACATTAAGCTAGTATTAAACATTGTAAGCAATACAAGAGAAATGCATAAATGCATAAAAGATTAGAAATTCGGTGAGATATTTGCTCGCTTCTATCAATTAACTACTCTTTAAGCAAACCTTTCAAATTAAGTTCAATCAAATGATGAGTAACTGATGTAAACTTGTAAAATATGCGCTAATAAATTAAGACAAACACAGAGCTATAAACACAATTCTCGATCTATTACTTGAATTTTTGAAAGCATTTATCTAAAATATTAAACGGGTACGGGTTTTTAACATAAAACAGTTTAATTATTGTTCATCATCACGTTTTTCTATTGGCAGTTTGCAATTAGTAAAACTGTTCGCAATCAGTTTTACAAGACTACAATCGATCGCTATATTCAAAGCTCAAGTGCGCGCCAAACTTTAAGTATATTCATCGATACATAATACACAGATGTGGCTAGTAGTCGATAGACTAGTTACTGGAATGACAATCAACGATGATTATTATATCGATTAGCCAATGCATGTATATGGCAATTGAAAATCAGTATCAACGATAGTAATTATCCGGCTATACAAGAAGATTTATCGTTTAAAGCAAGTCCTTAGGAATCTCGTTTTAACTTACAAAACTCTGCAGAAACAAAATAATAAACGACCTTTTAAGGTATATGTATTTATTTAGCAGCTCATGAAAACGTTTTAACTTATATTCATAAATATGAATTGCTAAGAATTCATTTATTAAAAATGAGGTGTTACATAATGCTAACGTTCTTTAAGTTGCACCCAGAAATCTGGAGGCGTTATGATGAGGCCATTGCAATTCTTGGAGAGATCAGGTAAGCTATCACCTGGGGCTAGAACGTAGTCAAAGTTCTGCAACATGGCTGTGGTTATTAGGAAGAGCATATTCCGTGCAAAGGTCTCGCCGGCACACAATCGTTTGCCAGCGCCAAAGGGCAGGGACATATCCTTCTTGAGGCACAGTTTGCCTTGATCATCCAGAAAACGTTCGGGCCTGAAATTATCGGGATCCGACCAAATCCGCTTGTCCATGTGCATGGCATATAGGCTGGGAACGACTATGGTGTCCTGGGAATCACAACATGTTTATTAAGATTAGATAAGAAGAGAAGTTTATATAACACCTACTTTGGGTATACGATAGCCCATGAGTTCAGTGTCCTCTAGAGCTTTGTGTGGAACATCAGAAGGTACCAAAGTCTCGATTCGCATTGTCTCTCGTATTGTTGCTTCCGTATAGGGCATCTTTTGACGATCCTCCAAATCGGGTAAACGACCACAGCCCACCACCTCATCGATCTCGCGTTGTATGCGCTTCGTGACTTCGGGGTACAGCATTAGATACTGCACAATGAGTGATAATTGAGACCCGACTGCCGTGAAAGCGGGAAACGAGAAATCGATAAGAGCCATGATGAACTGCTTGCGATTGAAGCCGGATTCTTTGGGTAGATCCTTTTTCATTTCGGTTATATAGAGATCAAGGAAATCGCGCTCGCAGCTTTCGTCGTAACTATCTATGTGGCGATCGATAAATTCCGAAAAATATTGATATATATACAAGTTCGCCTCATTCATTTTGTTATATCCGCTTGCCTCGGGCCAGATATGTCGTATCCAAGGCATAATGCTTAATAATCTCCCATAATCATCGGCATTGCGTTGAAATTGTAGCCCAAACTGTATTAGTTTTATTAGCTTGGGCATTTCAGCCCTGGGGACTCGTTCGTTGTAGACAATGCTAAAGTGACTATTGGCTGAGAAGGGATTGAAAAACAGCGGCAATTGTATTCTATATCCTCCGGGCTTGACCAGCTGATGCTCATGCTCGTAGCGTGGACCGTTACGTATCAGATCTAGCATGTCGGTGATTTCCTCCGCGATGACATTCTCCAGCTGATCGAAGCGACGTCCAAATCCGAAGTCGCGCAGATAACGTAAAATGAAGCGACGCTGTTCCCTCCACAGAACTCCCTCCTGGAAGAATATGCCTGAAAATAATACGCAAAATTTATGATATTATATTATATATTAAATGATTATTGCAATTTAATTGATGTCAACATAATTCATCCCTGAGGACTCTTATCAAATCCAAAATGTCTGGCAAAACACGTAGAGCTGAAACATTTTTTTTTTATGTTTATATATATGTAGGTGTCTGCTGAGACACTTTAATTACTAAATGCCTGATAAAGATTCACTGAAAATAAAATACCCACTTATACATATATATATATACATATGTGGGGAGTATGCGACTAGAATATATCATAAGCTCTTTTAATTATTCGAAAAGTTTTTTTTTTTAAGTCAGAAACAGTTATAAACAGTAAACGCTAAAGGGTCGAGGATATAAAGGACTAATATAAAAGATAACCCACCTCGCACACAATCGTCTGAATCTCGCATTTTACTCAAAAAGAGACCGGGTCGTCCATCGTAAACTTGATTATTCAGGACCTCACGAACTGTCTGTCCATCGTGCACCACGGCGACTGGGTATTTGCCCACATATAAACCGATAATGTCCGATTTATACCACTTGCTGAGAGATAGAACTGCCTTGTGTAGGTATTTATAATTGATCAGCAGCAAGAATAGATAGCTTCCGAAAAAAGGCAAACGTGGAGGACCTATAGGATTAAATTTGAGTTATTCACACGCGAAATCCAACTCGACTTTGATTGACTAACCCGGCGGAAATCCTGCAGGACGACCAATTACATATTTATATGACTGATATATAAATATGATCGACACCAGTGAGAGTAGGAGAAGAGTTAACATTTTACTTCCGTTCCGAGCTGAGTTCGAAATGATACTATGCTTTTCGAGCGAACGACAGCTATTAAAATAGCAATAGTCAGATAATGTCGTAAATAGATTTTGAAATGCACTTTACAACTCAAAATGATAAGTGCAGTAGCAGTAGCAGTTGAGACGCCTTTTCATAAAATCTAGTTTTCTCAATAGAGGTAGTATATGTGATAAGGTTCAGTTCAGCCTTTGATCCTTATCTGTCACACGTGCAATAGATTGCAATAAAAATGAACTTATTATTCTGACGAGTTCAGATCATGTATAATAACTAATAAACAAAATCAAATATTTTTTTCCAATCATTACTTGAATACTGTTGATGCTAGATGATAATCCAATTTTGTTAGGTATCTCCAAGTCGAGCAGTCTCGGAACTCGTGTGCATGCAGATAACACATGTGTTCAGATGAATTTGCGTTCTCTTATACAAATTAATTGAAAATAGTATATATAGTAAATATGATTAATGATTTATTTTGCTCTCAGTCGCGTTATTTACTAATCACCCATGTCGTCGAGGCAAGATCAACATCAATCATTGTAGACGATATTGAGACGTTGACGTTGACGTTTTGTTCCGTTTTGCAGTTGACATTGTATAGCTATTAGACAATAGCTTCTTCCCGTTATCAGCATTTACGATGTGCTTGTACGAAACGGAAAGCGTATTCATATTATGTACATATGTACATAGATGATGAGCATAACAATTAAGGGGATTCTACTAGCCTTGCTCGCATTTATTCTGAGCTCGTATTATAGAGATTAAATATTATAAATAACACATTATTATAAAATCAATATAATAATTTTCCGGTATTTTGCAGCCGCTTAGGCATTTGAAATATTGTTGTCCCCGCTTACAATAAATTGTTTACTTTCTCAAAGAATGGCAAATTCTTAGTGATGTGTTTAGTGAATTTTTTTGCTCGATAGCAGCTCGTTCAATTTCGATAAGTGAATGCTGCATTCATGAGCGCCAAGCTCAAATTTTGAAACCACTTGACGCGAGTAATTTAACTCTGTTCTATGAAACAATTTTTGTAAATAGTTGTACGGGGTAAAAAAAACTGCAGCTTAATTTTTAAATAAACATTGAATACGGTAAAACAGAGTATACTAATCTCGACTAAAACCGTCAATAAAAATACAAAAAAAAAAAAAAAAAGGAAAAAAAAAAAATTTAATTCTACAAAATGACAGGCTCTCATCTATCAACATCCCCTTTTGCTCAAATATTTAGTCGCTAATTTTAGACAAATGCTAACAATTCAGTCGCAATTAAATAGAAATTACGATTCCTATAACAAAAATGTTTTGATGGATGTGTGCACATATGTTCACATCTAGAAATTCTTGACGTTGCTGCCACGTGCGTTTGCTAATAGGTCAAACGTATTTGATACCTTGAACGTAATAAAAATGGCAAGTCTCTAGCTTTTATAGGTTTTGAGATTGCCGCGTTCACACAGACGATCAGACGGACAGACAGCTCGACTCAGCTCGTCGCCTTGATCAAGAATAACAATAATAATAAGACACTTGATGACGTCGGCCACGCCCCCTTCTCTGATTTCCCATTTTTAATGGGCTTAAGGTATCATATACTTTTGGGCTATCAGAAAAAGCACGTGGCGGCAACGTCAATAATTTTGCTATAGATTTTTTTTTGCTATATTGTGTTTGCATTATCAGCTTTAGTTTAGAATTAGCAACTAAACACTGGATTTCGCCTCCAGGCAAAATGATGACTATTTATATTTCCATTTATTTTTTTCGTTTTCAATAGAGATTTTGCCTTCTAACAATGATAGACAAATTTTTAGGTTTTCATATTTTATTTTATTTATTATATTTTACTTTAACAAATATGGTAATTTTTGAAAGAATAAGTTCAAAAATGTAAAGTAGTTTTGCATAGTTTTATGCTAGATTCAAGTTATGGTCACAGGTCGGACAGGTTTCAGCGATTTCCTCGTCGGGTCCAAGAATAGAGTTTTCTTACATAGTAAATATTGGCTCGTGGCATTACGAACGCTCTCTGAGTTGTACCCAATAATCTGGAGGAGTTAGAACCAGGCCGACCTCATTCTTTGATAGATCAGGCAAGCTATCGCCCGGGGCTAGAACGTAGTCAAAGTTCTGCAACATGGCTGTGGTTATTAGGAAGAGCATATTCCGTGCAAAGGTCTCTCCGGCACACAATCGTTTGCCAGCTCCAAAGGGCAGGGACATATCCTTCTTGAGACACAGTTTGCCTTGATCGTCAAGGAAACGTTCGGGTCTGAAATTTTCTGGGTCACCCCAAATCCGCTTGTCCATGTGCATGGCATATAGACTGGGAATGACTAGTGTGTCCTGTGAATAACATATTAGTTATATATACATAATATTATGATCATTTTATATGGAACTTACTTTGGGGATACGGTAGCCCATGAGTTCAATGTCTTCTAGAGCTTTGTGTGGAACATCGGAGGGTACCAAAGTGTCGATGCGCATAGTCTCTCGTATCGTTGCCTCAGTATAGGGCATTTTCTCACGATCGTCCAATGTAGGTAGGCGTCCACTGCCCACCACATCATCGATCTCGCGTTGTATGCGCTTAGTGACCTCGGGATTGAGCATAAGATATTGTATAATCAGTGTTGCTTGATTGCCGAGTGCTGTGAAAGCGGGAAATGAGAAATCGATGAGGCCCATGATGAACTGCTCGCGATTGAAGCCGTATTCCTTGGGTAGATCCTTCTTCATTTCGTTTATGTAGATATCAATGAAATTGCGCTCGAAGTTTTCATCGTACGTATTTAAGTGTCGATCGACTATTTCTGCAAAGTAGTTATATATAAACATGTTTGCTTCATACAGTTTCTTATATCCGCTTGTCTCGGGCCAGATATGCCGAATCCACGGTATGATGCTCAACATTCTTCCATAATCATCGCCGTTGCGTTGAAATTGTAGCCCAAACTGTATTAGTTTTATTAGCTTGGCCATTTCAGGTCTCGGAGTCCGCTCGTTGTAGACAACGCTGAAGTGACTATTGGCTGCGAAGGGATTGAAAAAGAGAGGCAATTGTATTCTATATCCACCGGGCTTGACCAGCTGATGCTCATGCTCGTAGCGTGGACCGCTACGTATGAGCTCGAGCATGTCGGTGATTTCCTCCGCGATGACATTCTCCAACTGATCGAAGCGGCGTCCAAATCCGAAGTCACGCAGATAACGTAGAATGAAGCGACGCTGTTCTTTCCACAGAATTCCATCTTTGAAGAATATGCCTGAAAATAATATTTAGAGATTATATTTATGGTTATTGCAATCTCTTATATTATCGCTGTCCGACACTTTCGACCGATTATGCTTCTCATACAAAAAAAAAAAAAAAATTAAAAAAATTTTTTGAAACTAATAAAAATGAAAAATTATCAATTAGCGTCCTACCTCAACAAATTGAGCAGATAGTGGACTGCTCTACAGAAACCTAATGAAGATTACTGCTTAAATAAGTGAGGTATTTAATGCCTGATAACGATGTATAAAAGGACAGTCAAATTTGGATGCGTCATTATGAATATGTGAAAGCATACATTCTAAAGGGGCTCGAATCTTTATAGCCTACCTCGCACACAAACTTCAGGATCACGGATTTTGCTCAAATAGACAACGGGTCGTCCATCGCAGAGCTGATTATTTAGGACCTCTCGAACTGCCTCTCCATTATGGACCACGGCAATTTGAAATGAGCCCACATACAGACCAATAATGTCCGACTTGTACCACTTGCTGAGCTGTAAAACCGCTTTGTGGAGGTATTTGCGATTGATCAGCAGCATAAAGAGATAGCTGCCGAAGATGGGCAATCGTGGAGGACCTGCAAGGATTCAAGGATTAGCAAATCACACGCGAAATTCGATTCTGACTATGTTTGGCTAACCCGGCGGGAATCCTTCAGGACGAGCGACTGCATATTTATATAACTGATATAAAAATATGAGCGTCACCAACGTTAGTAAAACAACAGTTAACATTTTGATTCGTCCCGACTTAAGCTCGAGTCCGTACTGAGCATTTCGAACAGATGGCAGGTCTATAAGGTAGCATTTTTCTGATAGACTTTAGAACTCAGAAATGGAAAAATTTTTTATAACGATTACGTCTGCGACACAATCTCTGTATATAAGGCCAACTAAAGAATGGTGGTTCGATATGAGATTAAGAGAGGCTCGTCTAGACTATAAAAAAAATATTAAAATTTAAAAAAATAACATAAACAGCTTGACTCTTGCACATGATGAATATAATCATTAAATTTCGAAATAATAAAATAAACAAAAGCATAGATGACTTAATCCGACAAGCAGATACCCTAGGCCTACAAAAGTTAAATTTAGATTCCGTGATCGGTCGTGTAAGCTTGCTTGATAGATTAAAGACAGATTACAATCTGTTCATATTCCAGATGAGCATCAGACATTCTAAGATATCATAGATGTCAGCTTACATTTCAAGTCAATCTCTGTGCCGACTAAAAATAATAAGTATATAATCAGTTCATTATTAGTCTGAGCGTTTAATAATGGTACACTGTTTCAATATTTCTTTTTAATTAAACAATATAATTTATATTTTGTAGCAGAAGCATGAATTTCATTCTTTTTGTTCGGCTTAGCAAATAAATACATTTTAAATAAATGGAGCGCTCGTTCACGATGACTTTGCACTTTCTGGAGAGATTAAAATGCGTTGTTTATTTATGTGAATTAAATTGATACTAAATATTTTTAATATTCATTTTTATATTTATGCAGATTAAATAAATATTAAATATTTTTATTATTTCTGTTGATGTTCTTATAAATATATACTAGAAAATTTGTTTATTTTATTTATTTCTTTGCATGTGAATTAACTTAATAGTAAAGCGTGTGTAGTGTTTACTTACGTCTTAATGCAGATTAAATTAATATTAAACACGTTTATTTATACACCTGTGTAAATTATATTTATATTAAAAATATTTATTTATATCCCTATGTAGATTAAGTTTATAAAATATCTTATTTATTTCATATTTTTCATTATTTACTCCAAATTATCGATCTATATTTTATTATATCATTTTCATTATAATTTATTGTGGGCTGTGGGCGAGGTCAGATCAATCTCGATGATTGACGACAGCGAAGCGTTGGCATTCTCCTTTTCTTTTGCCGTTGGCTCAGCAGAGAATAGCTGCTGCCATTTATCAGTGCTGGCGCTGGGTTCGTTCAGACGTGACCAAAGTGCATTTAACCCCTTTAGATCATAGGCATCACAATTAAAGGGTATCCACTCGCCTTGCTCAGGCCGCAGTGCAACTCCTTTTACACGGGCGGGCAAAGCCTTTAGATTGATGTAGGTGTTGGTTGCTTCACTCAGAGTGCGCACGCTGCAAGCAGATGGGGAATTAATAATTTATATAAATAAACACATATTTTGTTTCACTTACAAGCCCATCAGTTCGTCTCGCCGTTGTTTCTTCGTTGCTAATTCGGTCTGCATTTCACTCAAATTTTGTTGCTCTCTGAGCAACTTGTCGCGCATTGATTGCTCGAATGCGCTGCGATTCTCTTGATCTTCTTTGCGTTCGTTTGATATTTCATTTAATTTTTCCAATTTACGTTGCTGACGTTTTATAAGTTGATGTTTTGCCGCTGTGTTCGAAGTAATATTTAATTCATATTTCAATTCCACTTGTAAACAATTTTAGTTACCTATTTTGCTGTGAAACTTGGCGCTCTGCTTAGCTAGTGCATTTTCCTGTTGCTGCAAGCTGATATCATTTTGCAACATTGCCATTAGACGTTTGCGCGTGTCAATTTGTTTTGCCATGCTTATTAGTTGTGATTTTCTGAAATTTTTTAAATAAACAGCGCTTAAAACAAACATATATCAAAACGACGCTCCATTGATTACTAGAGTTGCCAGACTGCTAATATTATTAGAGATGAGCGCAATTCACGCAACTGTTACTTACAATAAATTTTCAACAAATAATGATAATATTGTCAATGTGTCATTCGAGCAAATTTTAAATGCAATTTAAGTTGCTAGTAAAACTAATCGAAGCTAAAAATTAAAATTTTAATGAAAATTTAAAAATTATTAGCGTTGCCAGAAAGAACATGTTTTGAGCGCTCGCCAGCTCCAAGTGTGCCCGCACATCGCACACATCGTATATAAAAACTATCGATTGCATGGCTACAATTGTCATACTGATAGCCGGCAAAAATTGCAAGTGAGAGGCGTCATTGAGATTTGCAAAAATTTGAGATAAAGTAAATTTTGATTGTTGCTGCATATAAAATATTAATGCGTATATTGCACACAGCAAACGCGTTACGCTCAGTATTCTGTCGTGGCTATAGCGTTAGCCCTCCAATTAGAACTGTAAGTACATATGTACGTTGTGCTCAGATACCGGTGACAGGGGCGTAGCAAACAAGTTTTTTTTTTTTTTTTTTTTTTTATTTGTGGATTTTTGTGAACAAAGGGAATAGAAGGATGGATTCTAAAAATACACGAGACATTTGCATAAAACTCATTTCTGTTGCCATCGAAAGCAATTGCTTGCACATATCTCTACATACATAACGGTTAATCTGTGTTAAATTAGCAATGGCATCGAAAGAGAGCAGAGCATCCACTTGTTGGTCGCCTTTATTTTCACACACAAGGTCACGCCGTTTGCGATGTCATTGCGCCATAGCATTGATGACGTCGCAAATTTGAATACCTTCTCTCTTATCAGCATGTGCCATATTCGGCAGCTGGTGATACGAAATTTTGATTATATTTCTTTTTATTGTCGCTAGCAGTTGCAGATGCTATTCTGTTGTTTATTTTGTGCAGTATATTTGCTATTTATAGATTAGAATATGTTTATTATTATGACTAATGAAAAAATGACTTGGTTCAGGGCTGGGCAGCTGAATATAATATTGTTTATTCTTATTATTGTTTATATATTTTACAGGTGCCTCTTAGGTAGACGATAAGATAAGACAAAGTAATAATCTCGTCAGGGCTTGAGATTAAATTTATAATTATGTATTTTATAACTAAAAATACATTAAAAAAGTAGAATAAAAAAATGAATATTCAATTTAGAAAATCCCGATAGCAAAACAATTAAATGCATTTTTCTAAAAGAAATTTTAGAATATGCATCAGTTTAGCTTTTCAATTTCATTTAATTATATTCCTGACACTATATTGATTAAGGTTTTATTTAGTTTTTATTGGGCCTTGCTAAAGTCTACAATCAGTTTTATTTAGAGGAATGATTAGCACAAGAGGCAAATCAGTTGCTCCAATCAATTTGTGTCATGCGCCCAGGTTTACAGTACAAAGTTTATTTGTGTCGATTTGGAGTATCATAAATAATGTGAATTGCGTGTAGGTAGCGATTTGAGGCTCCAATATGCTGCAATTAATTGATTCATTCAGTTTTACACATGTTTCAGATGGCAACGGACATCAAGTTTAATGCGTCGCTCAGTCGCACGGATCCGCAGGTGCAGCCGGTGTTAATTATCGGTCAGCTGCGGCATTTGAATCTGTTAAAGTTCAGCCAGCTGGCTGGCAAATTGGAGCCACGCGTTAACGAGGAGACATTTAAAAACGCTATCGCCTGTCTGCATCCGGCGCCGACGGACAAGTGCTCGCTCTATCTGGATGTGGCCACAGTCGCTGCGCTGCCACTGAAGGCATCGCGACATAATACTGCCTCGCGGGCTCATTCGATAACGCGCCTGGTCAAGAACCATGTGCTCAACGTGAACGAGGAGAGCGTTGTGCTCGTCTGCGAGCGTGAGAACCTCTTTGCCAGCGCGTGTGCCGTGGTCCGTGCCTTTCCTCTTTACTCGCGCAAAACGGGCAATGGCAACGGGGGCAAGTCGCCAAGCAGTGAGGTTGGAGATGGCCAGCCATCGCGCTCTGTGGTCAATGTGGAATTCGTTATCATTGACAAGGATGGCTGCGTGGAGCAGGAGCCCCTCAGCCAGGACGACATCAATTGCCTGAATGAGACGGCGCGCGGTATTCGGCTTGCCGCACGCATTGTGGACACGCCCTGCAACGAGATGAACGTTGATCACTTTATTGAAAATGTCAGCGAGTTTGCCAAAGAGCTCTCCATCCAGCCTCAAATCATACGCGGCGAGGAGCTGCGAGAGCGCGGCTTTGGCGGCATCTACGGCGTTGGCAAGGCGGCAGCTGTGCCCCCAGCATTGGTTGTGCTCTCGCACGAGCCGAAGGGGGCGCAGGAGACGATTGCGCTGGTTGGCAAAGGCATTGTTTATGATACCGGCGGCCTAAGCATCAAGGGCAAAACCGCCATGCCGGGCATGAAGCGGGATTGCGGCGGTGCAGCTGCTATTCTGGGTGCCTTCTATGCGGCCGTTAAGTGCGGCTTCAAGGATAACCTGCATGCCGTCTTCTGTTTGGCCGAGAACTCGGTGGGTCCAAATGCCACGCGGTAAGTTTGTATCTCATTTAGCTGTAATAATTAATCTATTTGCTTGTTGATTGCAGCCCCGATGATATACACACCTTGTACTCGGGCCGCACCGTGGAAATCAACAACACGGATGCCGAGGGTCGTCTGGTGCTCGCCGACGGCGTTTGCTATGCCAACAAGGATCTTAAGGCAAACATTATACTTGATATGGCCACGCTGACGGGCGCTCAAGTGAGTAAATATTGTAAAGGACTCAGTTAGATACGGCTATATCCTGTGGGTAACTCAAGAGTTTGCTGCAATGCTGCTAAGCTTTAGCTATAGTTATATCATAATAGAGTTTAAAAAATTTGATAAACATTAGAAATCTTATATTTAGAATAATCAAGAATGTACCTATGTATTTTAAAAATGTCTTAAAACTATGTTAAGTATTTACTTAGTTGCATTCAAAGCTTTTTTCAAAGCTCCTAGCTATATTGATATTAATTCTAGTAACTTTTAGGATGTTAATGTACGAATCTCTTTAGAATCTCTTTCACTGCTAGACCTATTTTAGTTTTACTATATTTCTCATTCATCCTTAGATCTCTTTTAGTCTTAAACTTGTTTCAGCCTCAGATCTCTTCAAGTCTTATATATCTTTCAGTTGTGCATCTCTTTGAATCTCGTTTAGTCTATAGTATTCTTCAGTTCTTGAGTTCTGTTTCAATCTAACCAAACGTTAATTTGCTACCAACAGATGTCAAGAGCTTTGCGATGACTGCTTATTCTTCTCCCTACACACAACCTTTGATACCCTCTTTACTATCAATTCCTTATGCATTCATATTTTATAAAATTTCTATCAGCTAACCGAAGTAGTTTTCGTCCTGCTTGGCCTGACGAATGGCATTGGGGTCTGGGTTGCCTATTTTTTTTTAAACGTTTCTAAATGCAAAATTTATGCCACGCTTTATAAAAGTCACGAGGTTAATTGGCAAAAATAAATTGCAAATTTGCTTTTTTTTTCGGCGGCAACTTGAAGCGGTAGCAGGAGCAACAGCAGCAGCAGCATCAGCAGGAGGAGCAACAGCAGCAATGGCTGCTGCGAATGCACAACAGCAACAATGAAGGCAACGAGGCAAACCCGTTTTGCGGTTGTTGCCATTTTTGGTGGGGCAAAAGGACGAGCGGCAAGCGGTGCAGTTGAAGGCATTGGCGGCGATGCTGCACAATTACCATAAATCTTGGATGCAATTTGCTTAAAATATGATGCCAATTTGCGTTATTTGTGGTTCGATGGGAAATAAATCGAAGCTGGTCAGGGATAGCGAACAGGACAAGGCGCAAAGCGCAGTGAGCACTGCTGTCCCATCCTGTCCCATCCTGTCCCATCGATAACAAAGAAAAACTCAATTCGACTCGTTTCGAGTGCCACTAAAATTGTTGAGCCAACCTAGTCAACACTTTTCATTTGGAGAGTTTTCTCTAAAATTGTTTAGAATTCGCTTTGACGCTTGTTGTATTTAATTTCATTACACACTCCCTCACACACACACACGCGCACACCTCGATGCACACACACACACACACACATACATAGGCAACAACTGAAACACTTTAGCAACATGCAATAATATTAATTGCCAACATTGGCGCAACTGCGACTCCAGCAACAACAGCAACAGCAACAGCAACAAACAAATTGCAACAAAAGCAATAACGTTATACATTTCATATGAGGTGGCACTTCAAGATACCCTCTATAAATATAGTTAGCTAATAATTGTAATGAAAATTAGTAACTTGAGAGAATTTTATTAATTTTAACAATTCATTTAGTTTTGTCAAAACATTATTTACAATTTTCTTTGAAAGCATTTCTCTAAATAGATTTTGCTTACGAAAACATTTTATTCCATATTTATGGAAGACTTGTACTGTGTTTATACTATTTAAAAAGAATATTTTATTTGATTGCTATTATATCAAACATTTACAGCATTTGCAAGTTGAGCTAATATGCCATTTGCTACAATTTACTGTAGGGTATATTGAAACAAGTAACAAACAGCAGCCAACACTTTTGTGCTTTTACATTTTATGTTGCTGCTTGTTACACCTATTGTTGCTATTGTTGTTGCTGTTGTTGCTGTTGCTGTGTGTGTTGCTTTCATTTGTCCAGCTGTAGTTTAACACGCGCTGCTAGAGTCCTTGGCTGGTCTTGATGCTATTGCAGCTACTCCTCGTGCTGCTGCTACTCCTGCTACTGCTACTGCTGCTGCTACTCCTGCTACTGCTGCTGATGCCGTGGTCCATGGCTCGCTGTTGTTTTGGGTGTTGCTTGTGCTAAATAACCTTGCACCTTTTTATTGCTGGTCGCGTCGGAAGCTCGCAATTTTGGCTGTTGCATACCATGCATCGCATCGCCGCCTGGCCGTCCCATTGTTCTGCATTCAGCCTCCTGCCTCCTCCCAATCGCCCAACATGTTGCCACCTTAACGATGTTTGGGTTGCTGTGCAGTTTTATTGTTAGCACATTCGACTTGAATATTGCATGTTTTCTATCAGTTCGGATGGCCGGACCATTAAAGCTCTCTTATGTTGCTCTCCTTTATTCTTTCGTATACATATTAAATTTGTTAGCTCCACTTATTTCACTTGCCTCTCTTTCTCTCTCTACTTGCAGGGCGTTGCAACGGGCAAATATCATGGCGCCATATTGACAAACTCAGAGCCATGGGAATCGAAGGCATTGCAGGCCGGACGCAAATCCGGCGATTTATTGGCGCCCATTATTTATTGCCCCGAATTGCATTTCTCCGAATTTGCATCGGCCATTGCTGATATGAAAAACTCTGTTGCGGTAAGTACCCACTATTTTACTAAAAAAAAAAGAACAAAAAGAAAATTGAAAATAGTAGAAAACTTTCAAGTGCTTGACGACCAAAGGCCACACATCAAACAATCCATACAAACACACACACACACACATGCCCACTTTTATACCTTCAAGGCATTTGAAGAAGCAGTAGACATCGTTTTTCATGTCCCTTTTTTTTAGCCAGACTCAGCTCTGGTTTTGCTGCAACAAATTTGGCACTCTATTGCAAGCAAAGAGTAATCCTAAAAGTGTTGTCTTTAGCCCTCACTTTTCATTGCTCGAAAGAAATTAGTCTAGTTCCATATTGTAAGCCTACTAATACTACTTTCAATATATCCTAAACGATTTATTTCGACTCAGTCAACATTGCTGCAACTTCAATGATTTTCCTGAATATTTCAACATTTTCATTAAGATTTAAAATAACGATATGTATATATAAGATATATAAATCTTTTTCGGATTCGGATTTTGTATTATATCCATATTAATATATTTTCAAATATAAACGATTTATTTCGACTCAGTCAACATTGCTGCAACTTCAATGATTTTCCTGAATATTTCAACATTTTCATTAAGATTTAAAATAACGATATGTATATATA